ATTCTTTGTTTACTAAATTCAGCTACTTCCTTTGTATATTAGTTACGCCTGCCTAAAGTTGTAACTATAGCCGACTACGCCCGGCCCCTTCTATATTTAGAAGTCCTTTAATTTCCGCTATCCTTTTATAGAGAGCTATAAGTTTTAGGCTTTACGTCCTTTTCTTTTATATATCTAGTTACTTTGTTTCTATTCGTAGATAGATACTGCTAGCTGCGCGCTCCTTTATACGGATACACGATCTCGGGGCGAAATCGAGTTTAGTAGGGGAGGATAAGATCCCGGGACCCCGGAACCTTTTTCCTAAGGCTTCTACTTAGCTAAGGCTAGATAGCGGTAAGCGGTCTCCTCCTTTCTACTACTTCTATATACGTAATATACTACTTCTGTGTACGTAATCCTACCTTCAGTAATATACTATATATTTAGTTCTACGTTAGGAGATAATAGAAACCTTATATACCCTTTACCCCTATCTTAGAGTATATATAGTAATAAACCCTTAAACAGAGTTAAGTCCTTTGCGACTATATACTAGGAGGAAGCTTATGTCTTATTTAGGGCCCTCCTAGAAGATCGATCCCCCCCCTTAATTCACGAAGGGGCAAAATAAGATTAGAAGCTCTCGCTAGAGCTTTAAGATAGCCTTATAAGGTTAACCGCCGAAAAATTTTCGAGATCTAGAAGTAGGTAATTAATTTAACCCTTAAACTTAGACAGAAGCGTACTTCCGCGATTAAGGCTAATCAGTAATAAAAATCCGACCTAGACCTTTACTAGCTCTACTAAAGTTATTAAATAGGCGGGATACTAGTAGATACCCTAGGGATTAGGAAACTTTAGTTTCTCGGTGTATCCTTCTAATTAGAATAATCCTTACTTTACGTAAAGATAAGTAAAATCAGAAGTAAAACTTCGAGTAAGGAAATCACTCCTCCCTTACTAACGATAGTAAAGGGACAATTCCGTAAACTTCTAATAATACCTAATATAGAGTATACAATTAATACCCTAGGTAAGCTAATATAAGGCCCTTGTGAGCAGGCTATAACGTATAGGAAGCAGGGTTAAGTAGGTAGAAGAAGAATTACTATCCTTAGTAAGATAGTATATATTCAGATTAGAGAATAAGAAGAGACTTAGAATTCTAATCACTCTGCTTAGGGATTTAGATTCCTTATATAATTAAGAAAGCGGGAGATTTAGGCAGATTGTATTAATGTTATTTAGTTCTGCTAGATTCTATATAACCTAGTTATAGTATTATATAGGTCAGCTGATATATAGTCTTAATATTATAAATATCTTCTAGGGTTGCTATATAGAAGATTCTAGCAGATTCTATAGCTATTAATATAATATTATATTTATCTATATACGATATTCCCCCCGTAATCTATATATAGTTTAATATATAGATTAGTAGGTAGTATATAGATTAAGCTATATTATTTAGCTTCTTAGTAGATATTTCTACTAGGTTTGCTAGCTTTATAAATTCTTCAAACAGTATTCTATTAACGTTTTTCGTTAATAGATCTGCTAGTTGCCTTTTTGTGGCTATATAGGTTAATTTTACCTTATTCTGTTGAATTATTTCCCTGATATAGTGATATTGTATATCAATATGTTTTGATTTCTTATAGAATTCAGGATTTTGCCCTAGCTTTATAGCTGATTTATTATCAACTAATATAGTAGGGATATTATAGCTATATCTTAGATCTAAATAATCGTTGATATAGTTAAATATATTAGCTAGATAGGTAGCTTCTTTTATAGCTTCCTTTATAGCTATATATTCGGCCTCGTAGCTGCTAAGGGCCACTGACTTTTGTAATTGTGAATTCTATAATATAGGGTTGTTTAGGCCTATATCGCCTGAGAGGCTAAATATATATCTAGTAGTAGATTGTCTACTATCTAGATCTCCGGCCTAATCAGTATCAGAATAGCCTTTGATATATAGGTTATTACCTATACAGTTATATAGTAGGCCTATATTAGGCCTGTATAGTAGATATCGCTATATTCTTTTAAGCGCTTTTATATAATCCTGGCCAGGATTTGATATAAATCGTGCGTAGTAGTTAACAACGAATACGATATCTAGCCTAGTTTTTAGGCTTGCGTATAGAAGTGATCCTATCTGTTGTTGATAGTGATAAATTAGTTGATTATTAGATAAATAGATATTCCTTTTTAGTCTGATCCCTGCTTCACTAGGTAGGCGAATTGGCCTATATTGATATATATCAAATTTCTTTAACAATTTAGATATATAATCGATTTGATTAATATATATCTTCTTTGATCGATAATTAATTGATATATTATTGCCCAAAAATGTTGATATATCACCTAGTTCTTCTAGTTTAATATATCTATAAAACGCTTTAGCTGTTTTATTTATATAAGCCCTATTGTGATATATAAATAATATATTATCAATATACACGATTAGTATAGCTTTAGTATATTTATTAATATATACCCCTTCGTTATAAGGGAGTATATTAAACCCTAGGTTTTTAGCTATCTTTTGGAAATATTGATTCTGTAGTCTAGGCGCCTGTTTTAAGCCGTATAGCGCCTTTTTTAATAGCAGTACTTATTATTATAGCTAGGGCTATTATATAGTCCCTTTAGTAATATAGTATAAATATCAGTATTAATATTAGCGTGTACGAACGTATTTTTAACGTCGAATTGGATAATAGGCCAGCCCTTATTAATAGCTATAATTAATAGTATATACCAGGTTTCTGTTCTAGCTGTTGTAGAGAATGTTTCTAGGAAATCAATACTAATCTTTTGGTAGAATCCTTGTATAACCTATCTAGCCTTATATCTAATAGGCTTATCGCTATTAGTAATATAATTAGGCTTAATAGTAGTAGGGTTTTTGATAGATTTCTTTTTAAACTCCTACCTACCCTTTATAGGAGTTATATTAGGTAGTATATTAACGATTTTATATGTATCTTAGGCTACTAATTCGTTGTTTTTATCTAGGCATACTTGATACTATAGATCCTTTTTATCTGATTTCATAGCTTCGATAAAGCTATTTAGCTCTGATATAACTAATACAGATAGTATATAATCTATCTATTGATTATATAGCTTTTTTAGCTGATTTAATATAGTAGTTTAATCAATACTATATATATAGGCCTTATCGATATAGTATAGGCTTGGTTTCGGTATTTAGACCTCTATTTTATAACTAGGGTATATAGCTATTTGTGCTTGTGATATAGCCCTAGTATTAGGTCTTTTATTAGAGCTAGGGTCTACTTCTATAGCCCTAGTATAATCTCTATTTATATTGATATCCTTATTGATATCAGGTTGATACGTAGCCAAGAATTTTCCTTCTAGGGTAACTATATCTCTAGTCTATATAGTTCGCCGAAGCTTTATATTATATAGCTTATAGTGTATGTAATCGCTATAGCCTACTAATATAGCTAGATTTTTCCTAGGCTGTAGCTTAGCTAGGTGCTTATTAGTGTGATAGTAGGCTATTGATCCCTATATTTTTATATAGTTAATTATAGGGTGTTTTAAATTGTAGTGCCCTATGTAGTGTGCGGTTATATAGATAGACCGTAGCTAGTAGGGCCTCTCCCTATAGATTTTGATTAGCCTTTGAATAGATTAATAAGCTTCTAAGCTTATTAAGTAGTGTAAGGTTAATTCTTTTGATTAAACTATTTAGTTCTTTAGTATATATAGGAGTTTTTCGATAGATTATACTATATTTCCTTATATATATAGCGAAATTGTTATTGATATATTCTTTACTATTATCGGTAAATATTTCTTTGATAGTAGTATCTGTCTGATTTTCAGACCGATTCTTATAAATTTTTAGTATTTCTAGCGCCTAATCTTTGCTTTTTATTAACCTAACGTCTAGATATCTAGATTTCTTATCTAGAAAGGTTATATAGTATTTATAACCGTTATAGGTTTTAGGGCTAATAGGCCCTCCTAAATCGCTATAGATTCGTTCTCCGATATTATAATCAGTAGAATCATAAGATCGTTTATTAATCGATCTATTATATTTAGCTAGTAGGTATATTTAACAGATATCTTCGATATATTTAGATATATCTTCTCTAGATATATCTATATTAATCTGTTTTAATATCTTTTGTAGGGGATTTAGCCCTATGTAAGCTAATCTCTCGTGCCAAAGTTTTATAATAGCTTGCTTATCAGTTTAAATAGATAAAATAGCTTAATTCCTTTCTAAGCCTTTAGGGGTAAGGATATCAATATTAGTCTTATATAGACTATTCTGTTTAATAGCAGTAAATATAGTAGTTCTACTAGATATATTTCTAGTAGTTATATCTATATTAGATATAGAATATAGGCTGTTTCGGTAAGATATAGTGTATATATCCTTATTATTATATATATCCTTTGTATATATATAGGCTTTGTTATTATAGAATGTAGATATTATATCTACTAGGCAGTTCGTACTTAGTATATTTATACCTAGTCCAGGTATATATAGTATATTCCTTAATATATAAAGGGTCGGGTTAATGGCACTACATGAACGTTACTCGCACTACAAACTAAACCACTTTCGGACGACCGCCAATCCACCCGCAAAAGGTACTTGCTACCTTTGCATAAACTCTGCCAAGCCCTTATGTATACATACTGCTATGCATAAGCGTCTCCTGCGGTTACTTTAGAATGTCACCTCGACCTTAACCGCATGATTTCGTTAGTGTTGCCATAACAACCGCCGTACGGAGTATAATTCCACAACATTCTAACATTCCAACATTCCTAAATCGCTACATTCCGTATACCATCACCATTTATTCGGCAACAGCTATGGTTTACTGCTTTCTAGAGCAGCTATATCTTCAGGGGCCCCTGGAGGCCCCTGAAGCGGCCGAATCCTTACTGATATCCTCCTCCTCAGGCCCTCGAAGCTATCCAAATCGCTCAAATCCGTGCTCAATATGGCCCTTCTTCTGCCCGACCCTACCCTCCTTCCAATCGCCCTAACCCTTCTACCACCTGGTGGCCTCCTACCGCCCCCGACCAACTGGCTGATCCCGGTGCCTACTAGTCAGGAAGCCCGCGCTCTCCTCAATCGATACGCCGCCCTACAGGGATACGCTATCACCGTGAAGAATTCGAACGACTGGTCGGCCTACCTACATTGCGATCGCAGCGGCCTACCCGTAAAGCACGATAAACCCCCATCTAGCGGGCGATCTTTCACCTCTCGCCGCTGCGGCTGCCACTTCGCTGCATATCTATCCAAAGTGCAGGGCGGCTGGCTCCTTGAGGTCAGGGAGGGCTCTCATAGTGGCCATATGGCCTCCGAACCATCTACGCATCCAATCCACCGCCGCTATCAGCTCAAAGGTCTCAGAGACCGGGTAGTTCGCCTATTCATGGAGGGTCGTACCAACCTAGAAATACTCGACATTTTACGCGAGGCGAAAGCCCTCGACGAAGGAGCTAGTAGCAAATCCAGCGCCGACCTGATTGACCCTTACCGCGCTCCAATTTGCCTCAACAGAAGAGATATCCGCAACCTTCGTTATCGTGCGAGGAGGGAGTTACTTAAGGGCTGCTCACCTACAGCGGCTCTTCTTTTAGGCCTAGACGGTTGGGAAATCGATTGGGATGCGGAGGCGGGCAGTCAACGGCGTATTCGGAGTGTCATCTGCGTCTCTCAATCCGGCCTCGACCTGCTAGCTCGATACCCTTCTCTACTATGGATTGATGCTACCTATAAGACCAATCGCTTTCGGATGCCTATGGTTGATATCGTCGGAAGATCAGCGAATGGAGGCACTTTCTATGTTGCCGTTGCTTTTGTTTCTGATGAAAAGGAGGGCTCTTACCGCTGGGTGTTAGAGAAGCTGTGTGATTTCCTACATTCCCGTTCGATCCCCCTTCCTACCACTACATTCTCCGATGATGCGGAAAGCTTATTGGCTGCCCTTGATGCTGTCATGCCCGATACGAGGGCTTTGCTATGCGTGTGGCATATTCAGATGAACATTGAGAAGCGATTGCGGCCAATGATCCAGCAGCATATACTGGTCTATCTTGAGATGGAGGGCGACGTTCGACCAGAAACAAATGCGCGTTGGCAATCCGCGAAAGAGCTTTTCAATCAAGTCATCTTTGCACCTACAGTATATGAGATGGAGGCTTGTTGGAAGAGCTTTAAAAAGGAATTCAAACACAAGGTTTTTGCAGAAGCAATTCAATACATCACTGATCAGTGGATGAAGGATGGTATGAAGCAGCGATTTCTCCGTTGCTACACCAACCAAAAGCTCCACTTCGAAGAAACCTCATCCTCCCGGGTCGAGGGGGCCCATGCATATCTCAAAAAATTCACCAAAACCTCAGTCGGTGATTTGTTAAGTGTTATGCGTGCGGTTCGAACCGCAGCCAAGGAGCGCCATATTAAAATCAACCAATCGCTCGCGGAAGACCGTCAAAAGCTCCCTGATAACCTCCTTGTTCCCTTGTTCCGGTTGGTATTGGGTTGGGTAGCCCCGTATGCCTTACAGCTCGTTGCTCGGCAGCTAGTTGCATACCAGGCGAATGAATTGATAGTAGTGGATTGCACCCACTACTATCGGCAGGCGCTCGGATTACCCTGTATTCACGAGATTTTGGTGGCCCTAGAAGGCGATGAGCCTCTTACAAGGTCGCAGTTCCATCGGCAGTGGTGGTTGCTGACATCGACCGAAGATGATTACCAGCCACTTTACTTAGAGCAAGTGCTTCGGATCAATGACCCTGCGAATGTCAAAGTGAGTGGTCGGCCTGCTAGAGCAGCTAATCACGCTCGAAAGGATCCCAAGGTAGTGGCAGCGAAAGAGGCCGCCATTGCCGCTGCCCGCCAGAAAATCGCCAATGCCTGTCATGAAGCAGCAACCCGCCGGTCAACGCGGTTATCCCGGTCCACGAAGCGGGATCCCTCTGGATTCGAGATTGTGAGGAACGAAACGGATTATATTGGGCGTGCAAATAGGGCGAAGGGCGCTGCAAAGGGTGTAAAGGGTGTGAAGGGTGTGAAGGGTGTGAAGGGTGTGAAGGGTGTGAAGGGTGTGAAGGGAGGGCGAAAGAGCCGGTGAAATCGACCTGTTCCTTAGTATTTCAGCTTCCTAATTAGGAAATCGTACCTACTTCATAAACTCTGCGGATTTGAGCGATTTGGATAGAAGGAGAAAAGATGGAGGGGAATAGGGAAATCCGAGTTTATAAGCTAAGGGGTTTGGGGTGGAAGGGGTGTTACTATGCAGCACTATTTGTTATGGCAACACTAACGAAATCATGCGGTTAAGGTCGAGGTGACATTCTAAAGTAACCGCAGGAGACGCTTATGCATAGCAGTATGTATACATAAGGGCTTGGCAGAGTTTATGCAAAGGTAGCAAGTACCTTTTGCGGGTGGATTGGCGGTCGTCCGAAAGTGGTTTAGTTTGTAGTGCGAGTAACGTTCATGTAGTGCCATTAACCCGACCCTATATAAATATAGTTAGAATTAGTTCTAACTATAAGATTTCCTTAATAATTAATTTGAATTGATTTAGCTTTTCCCTATACAACAGTTTTGTTTATAGGCTAATAATTATAGAAATATTCTAGTCTGTTTATAACAGAAATAGTAGCAGCAGTATCCACGATAAATTCAATATCAGATAGGATAGATCGATTTATAAGCAATTTAACGATCTCCTGTTTTTCAATCTGGTCTTTTGTGTGGTTTTGATTAGATATACTATATATATTATTAGTATATTTATCTGCTGATTGGCTAGGGGATATATAGGTTATATATACCTTAGGTGTTTTAATATCAAGATCAAAATCATCGATATCTATATCGATTAGGTTATCAAAATCTCCCTTACCTAGGCTATTCGATAGGCTAGGTAGGCTAGATTGGCTAGTTGATTGGCTAGCTGATTGACTAGCTGATTAACTAGCTGATTGACTAGTATCTTTATCACAGATAGTAGCTATTAAGGCCTTCTGTTGTTTCTGTTTTTCTAGAGATAATTCGGATTTTAGGTAGTTTTTTGATATTTTTTGATTTAGTTGCTATTTAAACGGCCTCTTTTCAGGATATAAATACTAGCAATTAGCTGTAGTATATATAGCCGTTTAGCAATAGCCACAGAACGGGCTATTGAATAGCCGTTTTCGATAGGTTTTGCCTATCTTCTTGTTAGGCTTATTTAGCTGATTAGCCCTATTAGGGCTATTAGCTAATCTAGGCCTATATTAGCTAGATTGCTTCTGCTTTTAGTGGATATTGATATATATATCCTCTCCTATACTTTAATGCCCTCTTGCTTCGTCAATTAGACTAGCGAATAGGCTATTAATTGTATAGCTCTTAGGGTCTTTCCTAAGCGATTGTGTGATAGTTTAGATAAAAGACTAATAGCTTTTATCTAAACTATTAAGCACCTAGGCTATAACTACCTGCTCTGGTAGTTTAATACCCTTAGATAATAGATCTTCTACTAGATATTTAACCTTATTGAGATATTCCTCTATAGTAGGGAAATCTGTAGAGCTAGTATTAAATAGCTCTTTTAGGGTTAAATATTTAGTAGTGAAACCCTTAGGGTTATATAGCCTTTCTAAGGTGTTCTACGCTTTATAAGCAATATCTTCGTCCTTTATATATAGTAAAGGACCTTTTGCGTAGTATATCTTAATATCTAATACTGCTTAACGATTGTTTTCGTTGTTTATAGGTTTTTGAGATTGAATAGCGTCTAGTATACTATCTTTAGTAAGAAGCGCCTTTGTTTTTAAGGACTATTCAATATAGTTTGATATACCCTGTAAGGGTTGTATATATATCTTTCTAATTGAATTGCTTATATTGATAAGTATATCGGAGATAACTCGGATATATCTCGGAAGTAGTTCGGAGATAGTATAGGATAGTGTAGATATCCTAGTTTAGAAAGTAGGTAGTAGAACTAGATAGTTCTAATATAGTTAAATAGGTAAAATAGGGCTATCTTCCCTTTTAGGAAGGTAGGTAGGGTCTTTCCTATAAAGCCTAAGGTATATACTATATAGTATATAGTATAGAGTACTCGGGCTTATAACCTGTTGTCGGATTTACGCCGTGTGCATAAACCCTAAGGCGTGTGCTTGTAGGCGCACACAGGTCGATCGAATACCACGATTATGGAAGAGAGACGAAAGTGCAATAGAGGTAGGTCGGCAGCGAACAGGTTGAACAGTAGAGGGTCAACACAGTTTAATCAGAATTGCCTTAAGCTCTATTCGTGAGTGAAAATAGTATCAAACTTGTTCAATTTAACTAGGGAAACAGGCAGTATTTATAACTTTAGGTACATAGCAGAATGTCACAGGAAAAGAGTCATAAAAGTCCGAAATAATATAGGGGCATACAAGAGTGTTAGGAAACTCGTTGCTTTTTCTATTTAATGCAGTAGTTGATAATTAGCATCGTATATCATAAAGCGGTGTATAGGGATATAGATTTATACATCCGATTATATTAGCGCGCGCATATATATATACGCTCGCTTATTACGGGGATACGCACACACTTATATATTGATACACCCCCTTAGCTCTCGATGTGAGGGCAGAATAAAGTCAAAGTAAGAGCTGAATAAGATAGAACAGAGAAAGAAGCGATAAAGGGATCCTTCTAGTGAAAAGGGAGGATTTCTATACCTAGCTGTTAAACAAAAACGGTATGTTTTTCGGCGGGAAAGCGCTTAGTAAGTCTATCAGCTAGTATTTCAGCTAATTTAATCTATTCAACTCGTAGCTGTTTCGCTTGAACTTCCTGTCGAATCTAAAGCTAATAAATATCTACGTAACGAAGCTTAGTTTAGAAGGAGGATTTCTCTTATATAAGCAGATCAACAGTTTGCTTATTGTTATATTAAATTATATCTAACTAGTTAGGGTTAAATTAGATAAAGGAGAATAGGCGCTTAATCTAGTATAGCTGCTTAGCTGCGTGGCTAATCGCAAGCAATTCGGCTTTTGTCGTTAATGTAGTAATAGTCTTTTGCTTACGTAATTTCTACTCAATTAGGCCTCTAAATAGGCAAAAGATAAATCCTTTAGAGCTCTTTCGATTAGGATTATCGGCAAAGCTTATATCTAAGGCAGCAGTAAAGATAGAAGCTCTTATTTCACTATCAAAACAGAGAGAAAGGTGTTTTGTCTGATATAGGTAGGAAATTAGATAATTAATAGCTTTTAAGTGCTTTTCGTTGCAGCGAGTAAGCGATTTCGCTAGCAGTTAGTTAGCAAATACAGTATCCGGCCGGGTCTAAACGGCAGGGAACAAGGTTAATCTATATTCTTATTAATAGAGCTTAATAATCTTTGGATTAATTAATCCTGATAGTATTAAATTAAGCCTTTAGGTAGTTAGTAGTAGTATTTTAATAGGTTTACTGTTTAGCAGGTTAAATCTAGTAGCTATTTTTTTAATATATACTACTTAATTAAGCTAGGTCTTTCGTTTTAATCGGTTTCGTATAATTCGAATACTAATAAATTAGATTAATTCGCTATAGTCTTTTATTTCAAATCGTTGTAAGAGAAGGTCTTTGATTTGTTAAGCGTATATACTCTTACTTCGATAATAGGTAGCAAGGAAATCGTTAACGAATACTATAATAACTATACGATTATTAGTGTAAAGGGCAGGGTCGTTAGGGCACAATTGAAATCTAAGTAAGAGAAGTATCTCTTTAATATTATCTTCCTATCTCTTACTAGCGATTCGTAGACTATATACTGCTTTGTGTAAGCGAAGAATTATTGATTTCTTATAGCCTAAGCTAGGTAGGTATTAGTAGTAGACTTCTTCTTTTAGCGAGCTATTTAGGAACGTATTAACTATATCTATCTAAAAGGTTTCGAGGTTATATTATATAATAATCGCGATAAGCGTGCGAAAGGTTCTAGTAGTAAGGGTACTAGTGCGAGCGTCTTAATTATTAGGGATTTAGGTATCGCCTCGTACACACAGGCGTACTTTGAATTATATAAGGTAGCCTAATTTATCTAATTTATAGGCAAATACCTATCTTATTAGGATCAACTAGTATCGAGGGCAATCTGATTAATTAAGGTCTTTGTAATTTATCTAATGTATATATATAATAAGGTTTGCACTAATTAGTTTAAATATATATATATTTAAAAGCTTGTTGAATTCGATTTGTATAGCTTAACGAAATTAACTTTCGAAAGGGTAGCTAACTAGTTAATAATAGCTAGAGGGTAGTAGGGGAATTAATAAAATCAGTACTTTTAGTTGCTTGCTTTGGTCTAGCAGGAAGGCCTGCGTAAGTAAAGTGAGGTTAATATAAGGGCGTTTAACCTTATCTAGGTCTCGGCTAGTATCTGAATTAGATCGTAGTCGCTTTAGTATAGAGAGGGGTTCGTAGCTAGAAGGGTCGAAGTTAGTGTTATTAATTAGCACAAAGGCTGTATCTAGCTAGATTAGCTAGTATCGTTAATATCAGACGGATTAGATTAGTTAGGTTAGTTAAATTTGTCTGCTTTTAGATTAATTAGAGGAGTAAGCGGTTAGTCTCTAAGGATTTCGTTGTCTAGCTTATTTAAATTAGAAGTGAGCTGAATGTAAGGTAAAAGTAAGGTTTTAGAAGGTTACGAGGATATAGTAGGGTCTAATTTAGTAGTGGTAGTGCTTCTACCCCCTAGATCTTACTATATCTAGTCTGATTGTATATCGATATCGTTAAGGATTTGTGTGGTTTCCTCTTTATTAAGAGTAGTAATTAGCTATAATAGGTTAGTGTCTTCGTAGATACGTATTTTTTGATTTAGTAAGGAGGGATTATAGAATTCTTCTTCGTTGAATTATACGTCTTATACACAAATAATTCGGCGATTCGTAGGTATCTAAATACGCTAAATATTGTGTGCTTTATAGCCTACTAGGTAGCTAATAGCCGCGCGTAGTATAAGCTTAGCTAGCCTTAGTAGCTTAATAATACGTACGTAGGCTTTGTATCTGAAGATTCTGATATTAGATAGATTAGGTTTAGTCTAAAGCTAATGTAGTGTATTGTTACCTAGGTAAGCT